CTAGTTGAGACGATGTGGAGTGAAGCCTCAGATAACTGATAATATTAGACCTGCTCAGGTCGGTCTAGCTTGATTGCATTACTCAGTATAGTGCTCTGACCTCCCCAGTGAAATCTCTAGGCATTTTTCTTTCACAACATTGATTTAGCAGTATGTCAACTTGCACAGAAGATGGGATAATTAGAAAAATCGACTGTAGAACATCATTCTGAAAGACCTTGCCAGACTTTAGTGTGAATTTTGGCAGCAGCAAAAATATTGCAATTTTGGAATCAGAACTGTACTACACCTGTTTTGTGTTGATGGATGTCTGAAAAGAGACCAGCTCCGAATGAGCTCTATTTCAAACACACAGAGGAGCAGTCTTCTCTTGCCTTGCACCATATGCGACACAATAGATGACATTTGAATGCAGGGTTTGAGGGTTTGTTAATATTCACAGACATGCAAAGTGTGAGATTGCTTTTTAGGCTGAGAGCAAGAGAGATCAAGTGTCCTGGTGAAAACACATTTATCAGAGACAGCTTGTCTGCTGCTCCACACATGGAGCCCTATCCATCTCCATTTGCTTAGTATCTGTGGCCCATTTCTCTGGCTAAGACCAGCTGGTTTGGACCATAGTGTAGGATGCAAGGAGCAAGGAGATGATAGCTGATCACATTTGGAAACAAGTGAAAAGGTCTGGTTATACTATAAAGATAACAGCATATTTTTAAAATTGACTTCTTATTCAGCAAACTTAATTTCCTGCTACTTGTAATCTCTTAGCTCTTTTCATTTGATTAATTTACTGCTAAAAGTGTTATGCATCTAAATCCACAAGCATGAATGTATAAGAAATTAGGAGCAATGAGACATGGAAGTTCTAAAATGTACGATTACCTGTGATGGCTTCACTTTATTCAGCATTTTTGTTGCTTAGCTGGTTTTCACAAGGCTTCTGTTCATTTTTTTTAGCTGCAATGACTCAGCAGAGAGTACACAGGAAATAATTTACCCAGTTGTTGGCATTTGTCTTGATTTTTATGCAGTCTAGTCAGATGCCCCACCGCTGGTTTCTCAAGAAACAGAAGCTCTCAATTACTATAGATTAAAGAAAAAGAAACATATTTTGGACTGAATGACATACCAGTTCAGCAGATTGATGTGAACTGGTTGAAGCTTATGTGGAGGAACCACAGGGTTATGTAGATATCAGTACAGAGAACAAGCAGTTTAGAGGAGACAGAAAACCCGCATCAAGTAGTGTCATTTTGAAATGTTGCTGGAGTAGTAGTATGACATTAATCCACCCCCTTAAACCATCAAAGAAGATGTATTCAATTCTAAAGTGTTTCTCACTGACAGTCACAGAGATTCATGAGATGAAAAAGAACTTAATCTGTCCAAATAATCATCTCCATGAAAATAAATGTTTAGGTTATAATTGCTTTTTAAATCCTTTACTAACAGAAGTTACTCCTGGATACTACCCATCTCTTTAAGAATTCTTCAAGAATAAATTTAAGAAGGGAATATTATGCAAAGGACTAGAATAGGATAGAATATTGTAAAATCTCAATTATTTTTAGATTTATAAATTAACTGCTTTGTACATCAAACTGTATAAATGTATGAAAAGTGATGCTCTCAAACTGCCTAACAAAAAGTCAACAAAACCTAGAAACCTTTGGGTTACAACAATATGAGACAGAGTAGAGCTCATCAAGTGCTCACTTTAAAAAAACTGGAATCCAGTCATTTTTGACATGTGTGTCTTGGAATTTAGTGACTGCCTGTTTTTGCCAGACTCAAAGCATGATTAATGGTTTTAGAAGCCAGTCTAATTGTGAGGCGCATGCAACAGCTCTGTACCCTAACGTGCTGATGTTTTTCACAGTGCACAGTTGCTTTGTTGTAACTGTGTAATAAAGACATTAATCAAGCGTTCCAATTAGTTATTTAGAGAACTGGTACTATTTTATGGTTTCCTTTCCAAACAACCTGATGATGAGTTTAGACTTGCATTTGTTCATTTGTGTGTGTGTGTGTGTGTGTGTGTGTGTTATAATCAATACTTTTGATGAGTTGATAGTCTTTCAGACTCATTACGTCTGAATTAATTTTGCAGCCCTTCTCCATGCTCTCTCACTCTGTCTCTTAACTCTCAAACACACATACACAAACAGAACACCGTCTCTTTGATTTAATTTCCATTTTACTTGTACCTAATGTGTTTACATTGTATTTTATCCTGCCTCAACTACAAGAGGCAGGATAATCAAAGAGATGCTTGTTGAGATAGGCTCCTCAGTGAGAGTTAAAAGCTGGGGCTAGAGCCAAGTGGGGCCCCAACAGAATGAGGAGACACCTTCCTCTGTGCCACTCACTCTGCCTGATGTCTTTATCTGCTTTGTCCTGTCGGGCCTTTCTGCTGGAAGGGCCACCGCAGTCGGCATCATGTCCAGCACACCATCACTTCCATCTCAGGCCGCTATTGATCAGTGTCATGATCTGATGCCACATTCTGCGGTGCTGGTGCCTGTACTTTCACTGTCTTTATGAACCAGTTTACAGCACATGCCGCTTTGAATGTTTCATTTGTGGGTGTAATGATTTGCCTGCGCAAGCACACGTGCGTGCCTGACCAGCCCTGCTCATTTAAGCTAAATCTGTCAGGACCCTTGGAGAGACTGAGGTGGTTCTCTTCCTTGTGTTGCTTAAAAACTGAAGCAACCTCACTTGCTCATAAATACTTCAGGTCCTTAGCGTTCAAGGTTTAAAATGATTTCCCTAAAATTAAGTTTCTGAACTGGGAGTAATCCATCACTGCCATTTACTCTGCTTCCAGACATAGTTTTTCTTTACAGGTTTATTAAATTAATGCCTTTCCTGCGTGGCTTGTGGGAGAGGTCTGAATGAATTATGATTCCACATAGTACCAGTTAAATCCTGAAGGTACGTGAGGGTTCTCTTGCAGTGTGCGCTGCTCACTAATGGTTGACAAATGTCTGGTGACTGTGTTACTGTAGGGGTATCATTAGGTAAATGTTTATTTTTCTTGGCTCTCCTCCACTGGCAGATGGGGTTTGACATTGTTCCTTGGAAACAGATCGGTGCTGGGGAAGGTCTCCATTGCCAATGAGACCATTAACCCTCCACCACCTCTTGTGTTGAGCTCCTACTCTGTTGGCATTTGCTGGAACAGAGGACTACTGTGGAGGGCTGAGTACACCAGTTAGCCTCTGAAAGAGCACTGACACAGCTTGAGCCTCTCTTCTGACCTTGGTTAAGGATGGAGATGATGTGTAGCTGTGCTGCACCTGCAGGTTCAGCTACTCCTGCAAAAAGACGTGACTCACTAGAATCCCCTCTCTTTTTCATCTCAAGAAGTAACTCTAGCTTATTTTACTTTAGGTATTATGTTCATAGTTTAGCCCACCATGGCAGCAATGCAGCCCAACGAGCCAAGAAATGAAAGCCCATTAGATAAATTATAAACAAGCCAAGTTTGTTGGAGGTAACGCCAGATGTGAGTGTGCCTGAAATGTCACGTCACAGTTGCATCAGAAAGTCTAGTAAACTGTGATGGATTATTATAATGGACATTTTTATTTGAGTTTTACTGTTTTGCTCTACATGCAAGTGTGACAACCACTCAATCAGTGAATTGGTAAAGCGATCATCAAGAGCCATGGTGATAGTTCATCTGTTAAGTGGGTGGTACAAGTAATTTTCACTATTTCCACACTATTTCTAGCCTCAGTGATTGATCAGTTAATTAAGAAAATGATCAGTGGTCACAGCACTACTTCCAGAAATGTTTAGCTAAATGATGGTCAAACCTCAAATAACACCCAAGTTATAATAACCTGGAATTATTCTTTTACTTGATGACACACACACACACACACACACCCCCACCCCCCATCCCCTTCGTCTCTGGCTCTCTCTCTGTTTCACTTTGGATAAGCCCCACTGCCTCTGAACTGCTCACACCCCACTTCCTCTCTCAGGGGTTTTCGCCGTACTTCTGAGCTGAAGCAAAAGGAGAGTAGAATAAATTGCATCTTGTCTTGTCTTCTGACAGACATTGCCCCTTAGCTTTCCTGCTGTGGGAGACTGGTGACAATGGCTGCTATTTTCAAAGGAACATAGTGCCTTCCTAAGTGTTGCTTCCAAGAAAGGACCCCCCACCCCCCACCACCACCACCACTCCCTCGACCCACCCAACACACACTTTCTAAGAGGACATCTGAGTAGCGTGTGTGTTGAATGCAAGGCTGTGACAGGAAGGGAAAGCCTTGTTCTCCCAACATCCAGCACGGCACATAAGTATGAGGGTATAAACACTGTAAGTCATCTTTGTGCCTGTGAGCACCTGAACCCTGCAGATGATGCACTTGCAGCCCCACTGTCCGTAGAGCTACATCATGTGGTCAGCCATCATGCTAACATATTATGTCAGTGCCATCAGAGCATGCACCACATTATATGTAAGAGTGTAAATTAATTTCTGCATGCATGCTCTGGATTTATATGATTTGCATGGAGAACAGTGCCCTCTGCTGAAAAGCATTTAGAATGTTGACTGAAAATGGAGCACAGCAGAGATTGGGTACACTTCACAATGTGTATCTTTATGCTTCTTATGTTTTATTGATTTGACATTGCAGGCTGACTGTCAGACACACTCTGTACCAGTATTACATTTAAAAGTAACACCACAACAAGACCAACATTTACCTTCTTCCTCGGTGCAGGTCAAACTGGCTGAAGCCATGCTGTGGGAGGAGGGCAGCGCTGTGGCAGGTCTGTCTGCTGTCGGCGGGCTTCAACTGCTTCCTAGTGGCCTGTGTCATCCTGGTGGTGGTGCTGCTTACGCTGGAGCTGCTTATAGATACCAAGCTGCTGCAGTGTGAGTATTCGCAACATTGTGACATCTGCTGAAATTATTAGTATGATATAGTTGTGGTTTTGAGAACATAATACCAGGAAGGGGCTTTATTATACTCATTCATTACAGCCTTGACTAGCAGTAGCATTCTCGGAAAGGGAGACAAGATATGAGAAGGTAATGGATCGATGCTCAGACTCGCATAAAGACCTAAGACATGGAGCAAGTTCACAAGACTTTGATTAGCACAGAAGCTAAGCCAGAGGAAGATAATGTAAAAGCAAGAGTGAATGACAGACAAATATGGAAACTCTTCTCAAAATAACACAAATATTTGTGGGTGCTATTTGTATTAAGCAGGAATACACACTGTTTACCTGCAACTGGCAGTGTTATGAGTAAATAAGTCAGCTGATAAAAATTGAATTGTTTAAAAATCTTCTTACTATGCTATACTTTTATAACTATACTATATTACTCTATACAGGTGTATATGTTTATACTACGTTTTGATGAAAAATTAGACCAATTTGACAAATATTTCATGTTCATATTCAAATAATGTATCATAGTATTAGCAGTCTGAATTTTGTGGTCCCTCTTATGTCTATTGTATAATCAGTCGGTGTCATTGATCTATTGTGGGACCTGAGGTTTCACTGTAAACACAAAAAGTCAGGTGGTGAAAATACAAGTGTGACCCGTGTCACCCCGGTATCGCCACATCATCTGGTCTGGTGAACACACTCGTATCTATTATAAGTAGAAGGCATGACCTGTTTAATGTCAGGGTGCTGGGTGAAGAACGCACATGATAACAGAGTCGCACCAGCAGTACACAAATGCTTTCAAATCTTCACTGTTCATCTGGGACCGACTGACTGCTGAGAGTTGGAAAAATAAGACAAATGTGTGAATGGAGATTAGCGGACAAAGAAATCCGGCACACAGAGTTGGCTGGTGGATGAGTGCGGGGAGGGCTGGAGGAAGATGAATGGACTGATAGATCACCGAACACAGCAAACAAAGATAGATGGTGTAGAGGTGGCGCATACAGAAGAATGCCTGAGCTAACAGCTGAGCGCTATTCACTGAGGCTGTCCACAATTAACCTGATGAATTGACAGGAAGATACAGACCTATGCATGTACGGTATGCGGTGAATTCAAGCCTTTGATGCTGCTCCACGACTTTGTCTGATCATTTATGGACTGTAGGTGTGTGCGTGAATATGTCCACTTTTACCGCTTTACTGCTCTTTACACAGTAACAAAAACATACAATCACACCAAACTACAGCATCCATCTTTCACCAGCTCATGTCACATAAATTTGTATATTTTTAAATAAATAATCCGTCATTCTGTCTTATTCCTACAGTTAATAATGCATTCCAGTTTGCCAGCATCATCCACTGGATCAGCCTGGCTATCCTCTCTGTGTTCTTCACCGAGGTGAGTGTTCGTCTTACCCCGACTCAACACAAAACAGGATCATTTACAGCTGATACAGTGGCCTTAGATTAATGCTATGTTGTGCAGTATGGGCTGGTTATATAACATCAGCAGAGTCTCACCATAATGCAACCAACACTGAAATGCCCCATGCTTTCTGTCACAGCACCACTGGATTCCAATTAGTAGAGCTGAACATGTGTACAACATTATTGCTGAAAGATTAAAAACCATACAACGGTATTTTGAAATAACTTGAATAACTGTTTTTGTTAGAGCTGACATGGTTGGCCCCTCCTGAGTTATTTAATTGATCTGCAGCACAAACACTTTAAAATGAAGATGGAGCTTTTCTGTGGCACTTGTTTTAAATAATTTCAAGGCCTCAGGTGTACTATATTGATTACCATTTTCTTTACAGTCAGCCACATTTGTCTTAGTCCCCTACACATGACCACCCACTAACTTTTTTTTTATAGCTGGAATTTTACTTATCAATAGAAGCAAGTCCTCAGTGCTGCACTGAAGCAGGTGAGACCGGTTTCTGCTCCAGTGCAATCTTGAATATCTGAAATGAGGATGGGGTTAAGGGATGGCACATGAGGAACAGGAGAGAAATGAGGAAAGTTGTTTACTACTATGCAACCTCTGCTGTGTCAGCAAAAAGAGCTAAATGTGGTGCCTCTAAATGTTTGGTTGAACTCTTATCACACTGCCTGTGACGTGTTTGAATGTGATGTCACTGATGAATTACCAGTGGAGGGGTTAAAGACATCTGAATCACAAATGCAAATGACATGTACTGGGACTCAAGTTTACTTATTGGGAATTACTACTTAATGTGTTCTGCCTCTGTCATTCAGTCTGTCTCAGTTTAGCTGTCATTGCTTTCTTCCATTGCACCTTGTATGTAACCTGCTCTCTGTCTCCATCTCTGTCTCCTTGCCTGCCTCAGACGGTGTTCAGAATCGTGGTGCTGGGGATATGGGATTACATAGAGAACAGAGTAGAGGTAAGCTCCCATGGGTCCCATTATTCCTGACTCGGGGTCACTTTCACTGCAGTGCCATTCCCTCAATGTCATACCTCAACTGTGGAAGCTACACACAACAGTAATCTGGCACGTGTGTGTTTGTTTCCCCAGGTGTTTGATGGAGCTGTCATCGTCCTTTCTCTGGCCCCAATGGTGGCCTCCACAGTGGCCAACGGCCCCAGCAGCCCCTGGGACGCTATTGGTCTCATCATCACACTACGCACCTGGAGGGTCAAGAGGATCATTGATGGTGAGGAGGGGAGGGGCGGGGGCTGGGTGTCCCCTGTGTCCTGTCCTTTACTGTCAGGTCACAGAGATAGATTGTGCTGTGCTCTCTGCAGTATTGGCTCCATTCAGTCTTCAGGTTGTTTTCTCAGTTCTTTTTACTTTTTTTCATTATTTTGCAGCAGGTATAATGGTAGATCATGTATTAAATATAGTGGATGATCATTTGCATGTCTAGTGCGAGTGAACCAAGTTTGAACTCTTTAGTCACCTCATCCACTAACTGCTCAGAAGATATGTTACAATAAAACAACTGAACTATTCCCTAAAACCTGATCATAACTTTAAGACACTATTGGACACAACGTTAAAAACTGAATGTGACTGAAGACTTACAAAGGCGGCATCCTTTGCAGAGCTACTGCACCGTCATTTTGTTCACCTTGTGTACAGTATGTTAGTAGCAGCCCATAGTCATGTGTGGAGCGTATGCAGACGTTTATTCAAGGTTCAAAGTGTTTATTGTCACATGCACAGTAAGGAAACGCGTTTCCCTGCACAATGAAATTCTTACTTTGCCGTCCACACTGTATTTACTTAAAACTGTGGTTGAGTTTTAGAAACCTCATGTACAATAATCTATAAAATCCACTTTTGGATTTCTAGGGTTAATGAATTAATTAAATCAGTGCAGAATTTAGTTTATTGCAAAATCATAAGGCACAAGATTAAATGTTAAACTCACTACAACATGCCATGTTGTTCTAGCATATGTGCTGCAAGTGAAGGTGGAGATGGAGCTGGAGATCCAGCAGTACGAGAAGGCCAAGGCAGTGAGGGATGAGCAGCTTGATCGTCTGACCCAGATCTGTCAGGAACAAGCAGTATGTCATATATTTTGTATGGCTTATCTATTTACCGTAGTCTACAATGTATTTATTTTTGCCAATTTATTTTTCTCTGTGTAACCAGCAGAGGGAAGCAAAGTGCTACGAAAACAATTTAAGCTGGTGCTTGAAAAGGCAAAAAGGATATTCGAGCTCATTATCACTACATAAAACTTCTTACACCAGTCCTATGGATATCAGCTAGCCAGGAATGTGCACTATCCCAAAACTGGCTACTTAAAAATTTAATAATCATAGTTCTGTTATTGTTTTAAGGAGTATTTCCAGCTAAAAATGAACTGTGTAACTGCAGGTACATCCACTCAGTGCCCTCTATTTCTCTGATGTCAACCCAGAATGTGGAAAAAGTGTCTGTTGTATCTGTGCGTTCTACTGATCTGTTAGCTTAGAAATGTACAGTTTGAAATAAGCACACTGTACTTCAGATGTAAAGATCAGCTCTAATGCAATCAATACTGGTGAACATGCTCGACCTTCTATAAGTGGATAGAATACTAGAATATAGAGTTTACAGTATGTGGTTAGTATTAAGCGGTCTTTAAAGTGGGTATTTACCTTTGAGTCTTCACCGGTTCTCCCATTTGTCTCTCCTTCCTTTCAGTTTGAAATCAGGCAGCTGAGGGCCCACTTAGCCCAACAGGACCTGGACCTGGTTGCAGAGCGTGAAGCAGCCATGCAGATCCACCATATGTGGGGTAAACAGAGCAGCAGTTTCCAGGAGGTGGATGGACTAGCCCCTGGGGCCTCCGAGCATCACAGGCCAAATAAAGCTAGGGAGCCCAGGGGGCCCACAGGTAACCGTCTGGAACACCCACCTCTTTTGTACTGCAAGCTTTCAGTGACCTCTGTGCACTATGGGAGATTCAGGCTGTGCCTTCCCACACTCAACACTGTTAGAAATAACATAAATGCTACAAGGGAATGTAACACGCATACTTGCATGCACTGAAAGCAACAACAAAACAAAAAAAAAATGTAATGTCACCCAACAACATGTCTGCAAATAGTAATCATTCCATTCTCATGTTGGAGGGTAGGACCATGTGTTAAGACTGGCCGTCACACATAAGCACTGTGTTTGTGTCCTCTCCTCAAAAACATTCATCTTGCAATCCACATCAAAATTCTGGTGCCACCCTTAGATGGATTATAAACCGTTCACACAGTGACAGGTCATAATTTACAGGACCTGAAGCAAAGTGCTGTCAGGGCAGGTGATAGCAGGGCTCAAAACACGAAGGCTTTTCCTTTATCAAAGCAATAAATCATTGAGCAACCTGCTATACCTCTCAGTCACCATGTTTCTGCTCAGACATTCTTTGAATTAAACCTTCTCTTTTGGAGATGATCCTGTCACATTTTAGACTCCATGGTGAGTAGCCTCTCTTGGGACTTTCATAAAATGAATATGTGAAGCGCACACATAAACAAATATAAGCCGTCTAACAGTCCTGTGGGATCAAGGTCAGCACTTAAGAGAAACACTTGAACTGATTTAGGATCTGTGAAACATCTACGTTAAGTGCTGCTCATTTAGGTAGTGCTAAAACATTTTGTTGATTAATCTATTAGAAGATAAATGTTAGCAATTTTATTGATTAGTTAGTTATTTGATTGATTGGTTATTTAAGTAATGTATCAAGCATAAAAGGAAATATTTCACCATGTGTAACATTGTTGACTTACCTTTTTTTATATCATCACTGGACTCTAGAAACATGCTATAGGCATCTTCCCACAATTTCCGGTACAATTTAGAGAATAAAAAAAGTACAATCTAAAATAATTACTAGGTACATCCCCATACTTTGGTAACATGAACTTTAAGTAACCGTTTAAGTCAACATATACTTAGCATTCATAAGCACTATACAAACATTTCATAAATTAAAATGCACTGCCTTTAATAAATGGCTTACAACACTATAATTACAAAGACTATTAACACTATGTTTGGACACACATTCCCATTGAACCAAATGGGAAAGCGTGTCCAAACCTTTGACTGGTAACTTGCACATGGAGGTAACTTACATATCCACACTGTGATGGCCATTTTTAATCTCCTCAGATCACCATGGCCAAGATGACATGAACAACTACATCAGCCAGTACTACAGTGAGCCAAGCAGTGGTGAGCACCAACAAGATCCTGTTTCACTCTTTTCTACAGCCCATGTGACCAAATGCTTTTTCAATGCCCTGTACATTATGTGCTGTTGTAGATACAGGGATCCCAGATCCTGCACGCATCATCACCACAGCAGCCATAGACGTGCACCTGCCAAACAACCCCAGCCAGCTTCCCTCCACTTTGGTGAGTGCTGACGCAGCACCATCCAGCTGTCTGCAGCGGACCGGCAGCTCAGTCAGCGAAGCCTCCACAACCACAATGTCCCACACCAGTTTCAGCGCCCGCCAGCACAGCATCAGCAGCCACACACTAGGCTCCACCAGGGACTACAGCTCTACAGTGCGCGAGGCCTCCACCTCCACAGACTACAGCGACCAACGCTGCTACCCTCCGCCCTACAGCAGCCCTCTAGCCCTTGGCACTCAGCCACGAGGCAGTCCCAGTGCTGTGGTGCAGGAGCTGCTGTCCTCTCTGTCTGAGGACTCCTGTCTCGCTCAGAAGGGCCTGGACCCTGTCAACCTTAAACCACCCAGCCCAGCAGGCTCCACCAAAGCCAGCCCTGAGCTGGAACACAGGGTCAACATCTACAACAAGAGGAATCAGGAGAGCCAAGTCAGGCTTCATTCAAAGCCGCTCATTCATCTGCAGAGCAACGAGCCTCTTCTAGAGGAGAAGTACAGGATGATGGAACCAGTGGACACCCCAGTCAGCTGTCTGTCAGAAACATAAGACAGCACCTGACATGTTGAACTTCACACAAAACTTAATGCTCTACTAAACTCCTGTTCTCATCGGGAGTCACGGGCACATAAACTGTGTCTGTCACCACCTTTGTACTTTTGGAACTGAGAAGATGAGCTTGCCAGTGCAGCACAAAGGGAAGGCACAGAAGACAGAAGGAGTCAAACCTCTTATCAGGCACCACTTATCAGGAATTGACACTGTCAAAAACTTGTTTTTACGAAGAAAAAAAAAAAAACAACCAAAAAAGGCAACAGGGCTCAAGCCCAAAATTTTCAGACAACTTGTTTGTGCAGAAAATCTGGCTTTTGATTTGTTAAGTTGTGGTTTGATTTCTAAGAAGTTAAACCAGGGAGGGCAGGATGCTGAGGACTTATTTTCTCATACAGTTTGTAGGAATTATAGATGCTGGACTGATTTCTTGGAGAGCCACAAACCAACTCAGTTCCACTGAGCTACAAAGCATTGATTTATCACAAGTGCATGTATATCAGCTGTTTTGATAGTCTAGTGTCTCCAAACCTATAAAGTACAGTCCCATTTGATTGACTGCTACAGGGTACACTGGCTCAGTTTCAGCTTTGACTTTTCAACTTCTTTCTAATCTTTGTCTTTCTATATCAGCCACGTTAACATTTTCATCTAAATTCTATGACAGGAAAGAGCATGGAAATCTTTTGACTGGGAAAGGACTCAAGTGATTCAGAGTTTTTCTCCAGGTGCCATGGAAGCTGACCAAACCCAGATAAGTTATGCTGCATTTCCAGTATCGGAGCCTAACAAGCGGTATACCCCATACTTCCTTAACTATCACCAAGCATAACCTCTGGAGTTGATGCAGATCAGCCTGCTTTGTATTTTCTCTGTGTCCATGGCTGCGTCCGAAACCGCCTACTACCATACTGTATAGTAGGCGAAAAGCAGTAGGCGAGGCGAGTAGTATGTCCGGATTCGTAGTATTCCAAAAACAGTAGGCGAAAAGTACCCGGATGACCTACTGCTTCCGGCTGGATTTTGCAGTGTGCATACGATGGACACTTCACTATCCCATGATGCCCCGGGAGAGGAGTTATCCAACAAAGAAGACGCTGCTATGAAAACGTATGTCACGTGATGTATCAACATGGCGGATGTAGTACGTCCGAATCTCATTCATACTACCAGGCTTCATACTATACAGTACCTACTGTTTTAACGGTCAGTAAGTAGGTACTTCATCTCTTTCAGTACGTACTGTCACAGTATGCGGTTTCGGACACAGCCCATCTCTGTTTAGAGGAGGGAGGGGCTGCTCCCCTCTTGCGCACACAGTCAGCTGTGCGTTTACACACAGTGTTTGTAATGCTAATGCTTGAGGTGTGAAGACACGGACATTTAACCAATCACTGGCAACTGCTATGGGTGTATGCACCCTTTCCAACTCATGTTCCTGGTACTTGATTTTAGTAGTACCTCCTAAGGGGTGCCAATATTTAGCTCCCAGAATGCACCTCCAAAACAGGTGCAACATAGTGGAAGCAAACACAGAACCCCTGATGAGCATTACTTGGCACAACACATTTGGGTAGGTTCCTATAATAAAACCCCTTTAGCGTTTACTGAGATTTTGCTAAATACAGCAGGTCCCTCATGCACCAAAAAAAAAAAAATCTAATAGACTTCATAAAAAATACTTTGTGTCTGGAAGTTATGTAAATATTTCAGGATGAGTTTGACCATCATGTGACAACCAAAAGTAGTGAGGTACGAACTGGAGCTACAGTATGAACCATCAACTAACCCTGTTTATTGTACTGTCAGGCATTTTCCATCTTGAATATGGAAAGTGGGCATTGCAAAATGAACCTAATAAAGGAAAGATGTGGCAAAATTAGAAAACTAGTACTGTCAATTTAACACATTTTCCAAAAGCATTTTAATGGACACTGTTAGCATGAACAGCTACATCTCTCTTTACTGCACTCAAATTAAAGAGCAATGACAATATGTACTGGAGCCATAAAATAACCTCTGGCCAATTCTAACCTTATTCACTGATAGCCAATGCTTGTACAGTTAAAGTAAGAACTGGCATTTCTCTCTGTTCATCTGATGCCTGTCAGAGATGCTGATGATGAAACAGTTTCTGTACACAGACTCTCCCAGCTTCAGCCATTAAACGATAAGGTCGGTCATCTTCAATATTAGTATTTTCAACAATCCCCACACAAAGACTAAAACCAACAATGAATTGCCTCTACTCATGATTAATGGCTGTCAGTCCTGGATTATCTTGCTGCTCTGTGCCATAGACCTCCACTGTTGTTCAAAAACATCAGGGAAGCACACCACTGCACTGGGAGACATATTTCCTCACTACAAAGCACAAGACCTTAATATTAAGGATATTCAAAGATCTTGTGCATGGGTTCTTGACATGGGTTACAGCCATTCGGACCCTTTGGAACAATTTTTAAAAATATCAGGGTCTGGTGTTTCTCCCCATGTGTTTTTAAACAACCATGGAGGCCTACTATGGTGCAGAGGAACAAGCTAATCCAGGACCAATAGTTTGACAGATATTAATTATGAGTAGAGGCAAAGCATTGTTGGTTTTAGTGTCTATATGGGGAATGTTTAAAATACTGCTGATATAGAAAATGACAGCTTTATCCTTTAAGGCAATGAATGCGGGTTACTGTGACTGCTCTGAATTCTTCCTACTGTGGTTTCCAGGTTCTGTGACAGAAGCTTGGTGAGAGAGAGTTTCTCCTCATTTGCTCAGTGCTTCAGTCATCTCAGGAACAACCTGAAGAGAAAACAATACAGACTTAAATACAATATTTCATCAATATTTTACACTGTCATTCCGACAGGACCAACCTTACTGAATATTTTAAATGCATTTACTACAAGAGTTCCTGAAAAAGTTTTTTTGTTTTTGCTTTGCTCCACTTTCAAATTAATCACTTGTTCACTAATCAAAATACACAGAAATCATTTACACATAAAAATGAAGTCCTGGTAATTGTTGCTCTGCGTTAAAGCCACAATGTGTTACTTGAAGTACTAGCCCCGTCATACATTCGAGTCAGTCTTCCGTTAGCTTTCGCAACTGAGACATTTAACCCTATACTGTCATTTCATAATATTCCTCATCATTAGAAGAATCCTTAGATGCTTCTAATGATGAGGAATAAAAAAAAATAATTGAGCCTAGTCCAGGAAAAATATCATTTTAATCAGGTTCTCTGGTCATACAGTTTCTCTTCAGTTGAGCAAAGATGGCAACAGGAACTGATGCCATCTTTCTCGCTTTTTTGTGAAAGCTTAGCATGAATGTATTACTGAAACCTATTATATTATTGAATGTATTTAAATCAGAATCACCTTGGCCAGGTGTGTAGGACATGAAGAATTTGACTCTGATACAGCGGCTCTCAATGCACATGTACATATCCCCATGCAAGGCAACAGCAAGGGGCAAGTAAACAATATACCAACCAAATTTAATTGTAATTATTATTGAAATTGTTTAAGTAATACATTCATGAAGTCAAGCCACTTTAACACAAAGCCAGTGACATCATTTAACTGTGAAAGCTCACAGGAGATTATCTCTGTGACTCGAGTGTATGTAATACATGAGAATCACAAGCTGGGGCTAAGCAAGCACTAGCATGAAACTCCCTCTCCCTGCTCCACTATGATCATTTTCATTCCCATCTTATTTCACATACTAAGATTTATGAGTTTGCTACACAAATCATAAAGCATATTCTGGCTCACTCTATAAATTAGCACAATGAGATTTATCAAGACCATGGCAGGCTGCAAGCATACAAATATGTATCAGTGTTTACAGGGTTGATTACAGCAGACAGATTCTGAATGGAAAACATCTGGCCTGTAAACAAACATCCTGATAATGCCAGTCGGTGTTAAAAAAAATTCTAAAGCGATTTCTGAGGAGTACAAATAGGGGTGTGTGATGTATATTGTTTACAATAATATCTTAATTGTTGTTTTAAACGTGCCAGCTGGCATTATCGACTATATGACTCGGACATTGGTTGCCATTAAAGACCATTCAATAGCTTGTTTTACCATCTGCATGCTAACCACTGCCCAGAACATGAAAAGCTTCGGGAGTCAGCTGTCCTCAACAGGATTTACCAGCCAAGGTACCAATACACACACACACACACAAAAAAAAAACCCCTCCACAAACTTTAGCAGAATCGTTCTGCAAAACCAAGTCAATGTTTGTGTACCATTTAACTTTAAAGCTTTAGTTTTAGGTAAATCACTATATGTAATATTTTATCATTAATAAGAAACAATTAATATGCTAAGAGCAACAAACATTTTTGATGGATGCAAAATATTGTCTAGTTACTGCAAAATCGCATAAGAATTCAGATATTTTCTGTCAATATCACACACCCCTAAGTACAACATTATTCAAATTAGACTTGTGAGTAGAGCAACTTCAGAACAGAACCATCAGCCAGTGCATGAGCTGGTGCAAGGTATCAATTGTCCATTTGAGGAAAAAGTAGAAAGCCCATCCATTTTAATCAGCTATCTGAGGAGTGATCACATGTAAGGTGATCTCATCCAGTAGGTCACAACTCGACTGCCACTAGCTATTATTACTAATCATTTCCACAGAGGTCATCAGGACACCTGGGCTGCTCATGCACTTCTGAGGGGCTAAATAAAACATGACTAACAGGGCACACATGAAAACATAACCTACTAGCCTTCTGCGAGCAGTGCTGGACTCCAGTGTTAGTTGTGCCAACACTACTGGCTCACTATCCCTTAAGTATCATCCTGATACAGGAAAGTAACTAAGCATGTAAAAGGCCTGGCAAGTAGAAGCTGCAGACAAAGCTCAAGCAACCTTATAACCTTTTTTATGTCTTCTAAGATACTAAAGTGTTTGTCTCTCAGCAGCAGGCCCCAGCCACAACTCCCCTCTGATTAATTCAAGAACTTAATAATTCAGCAGTTGCACATTTCCATCATGTCATTAGGTGGAATAAGGCATCGTGCAAAATTTATCAGTGAGAAAGCAAATGTTATTTTCTGTGACTGTCACTTTGGACTCCTGGCTATCAAAACATACACTAAGTCAAGACACAAGGTGCATGAGTGGTGTTATGCCCTCCCAGCTTGTACGATTACTAAATTAAAATTACAGTGAAATTGCTGCAGTCCCAGACACTCACCTTGAAAAGATCAGCAACAATGCCATAGTCAGCCACCTGGAAAATGGGAGCCTCTGGGTCTTTGTTGATAGCTACAATAGTCTGAATTAAACAAGAAAAACATACATTTAGTGGTCATACGCAATAAAATAATGAACTGAGTGCCTAAAATGTTACCTGCCTATATTTTGCTGAGCCAGAGACACAGAAACATTGCTCATTCTATTAACACTGGTATTTAAACTTAAATGTAGAACGTGTGTGTTGTTTTGTGGCAACATTTGCATCCTAAACTGTAAACAACGCAACCACATATCAAAAGCTTTGACAACCAAGTTACATTTGTGGGTGATGTGTCCTCACTGTGTGTGAGGTGACATTTCGCTTCAAATTTGACTTCTGACTTTTACTTGACATCTCTGGTTGGCAAGTGAATTTTCTTTACATAGAAAATGCACAGAATTATAGAAAACAGTAAGAAAGGGGAGGATGCTACATTACCTTGCTATCTTTCATTCCAGCCAGGTGCTGAATAGCTCCAGAGATACCAACAGCAATGTACAACTCCTGTTGAAATGAACAAAAGACAACCAGAAGACAAGAGTTACTTGCTTGAAGACATGAAGTGTAATCTCAGGCTTCTGTTAAAAACAACACACACCTTAGAACTACATTAAGTGGAGCTTCTGGATGGTCTATTGTCCAGTCGTACAGTTTATAAAGTGTAACATTCTAAAAAATGATGTAGGATGGTCAAAGTAAGGTGCTTTTGGCCAAATTTCATTTGTTCATCCGGTATCTTCTTAACATACTTTAACAGCATCTTTGCTTCAATTAAATCAATATGTATGTCTCTGGATGTGATCATTTGATTATAATGAACAATTCAGAGACTCACCTCTGTTCAAAGGCACTTAACTCTGTTTAATGCAAAATGATGAAATAAACTGTACTTTAACCAGCATAGGAGACATTAAATCTGAATGACATCTACATCTTTCATTTCACTGAACACCCTAAACATTTTAGATTAAAAGGATGCAGAAACAAACCAGATTTAAAACTATATTTTATTAAGCAAATTCAACAAGCTCATCATAACATTTAGAAAATCCAATTTGGACAGTCTGGCCTTGTCTGAGGGCTCTGGCCAGACGTGCACTGCACTGCACTCTGCTTGAATGGATCAGCTAAATCATTTAGGACCCTAAATGTGCCATCAAGTACATTTTGCAGATACTAATGTGTGGGTAATCGCAGCTGGGGTAACCTAACTGATTCAAATAATGGCAAGTTAACCTTTTTAGAAGGTCTGAGCAGACACCTTGATCATATTGAATTGCAGGGCATGCTGTGTAAAGGTTAAAAGACATTTGTTTACTTGCACCGTCTTTAAACATGTTTTTGAATGCAATTCAAATTTTGTCATATTAAAATGTTCCTCCCTATATTTTCATGATTTGTTGTACAAAATGAAGCAATTCCAAATAACCCCTTAAGAAAAGGAACTTACTGGTGCTACAATTTTGCCAGTCTGTCCAACCTGCATGTCATTTGGGACGTACCCAGCATCCACCGCAGCTCTGGATGCACCAACTGGGAAAAGAATATCATGCAATTCAAAACCTAAGTAAGTACAAGCATTTGGGTTATTAATGACACAAATGATGTCATCATACTACCTGCAGCATTCAGTTTGTCAGCAAGGTCATAAAGCAACTTGAAGTTTTCTCCACTCTTCAACCCCCTACCTAAATAAATAAAACAAACACTATTATTCTATTTGCACAAAAAAATATGAACATGTTATACGCTCTAAACGACCAAAGTTTATGTACAAACAAAAGACAAATTGTGGATATTGGTATATGATGCAAAAAAGCCAAATGGGCTGTGCACATTTCAGAAAGACAGGACCACCAAGTCCAAGTCCAACTTTCAAAGCCATAAAGAATATCCAACACACTTCTTTCAAACTTTAACACTTGTTCCTCTTTCAGTCTCTTAAACATTAAAACACCAATATGGGGCATAACTAACATACTGTTGTTAAATGATTGCCAAAATAGACCAGAATATGATAGGATGATATGAAACCAAAATTGTCTATTTATTGCAGCACTTTTTCAAAGTAGCGCACCGCAGTCACGTGCATTACTAAGCTGGCCCCACTGAGCCAAAGTGTAAAAGTTTACCTATCCATTTTCAAATGGAAAACATCCCCACGGTGGAAATCCAGCCCAGTGCCAGAGAACTTTAAGCCCTGCTTACAGTTGATGAAAATGAATCTGCAAACTAATTCCTCTGAATTAACAACCCACCATGTGAATCTCAATATCATCCACTAGTGACACAGCTTTGTGCTTAATTTTTAAGACAGAACACAAAAAGATGGCGACAGTTGACTCATACCTCCAGACACCACAACCTTAGCGCTCGTCAGATCTGGACGGTCGCTCTTTGTTAGACTCTGTTCCAGCCACTCCGAAATTCCAGCGGGAGAAGGAGCAGCCGCTGCAGATCACAGGATCATCGATGTCAAATAAGATGAAAAATGCAATGGCACTGCATGCCATTTTTCCTATGTACTGCAACAGAATCTGCTACTGAAGCTAATGTACCATTTTCTGATGTGGCACTTCCTCCCTGTGTTGGAGCTGCTTCAAAGGATGTCCCTCTGACAGTGAAGACCTTGATTGGCTCATTACATTTCACAGTGCTGAGAGCATTTCCTATCAAATGAAAAATATTATTTAAATGAAACATTAATTAAGGAATCCTTAGAGCAGATCCTGCAGCAAAAATGGAGCAGTATTCAAATGGCATCTGGGTCCAATCAAGGCTACAAATCCAGGTTACATGAGTTTCAGACCTGACAAAGGCGCACCAGTAATGTAGCCAATATTGCCTTTTTGTCACAGCTTTATTCCTTTTAAAACACAACACTAATATTACATAAACACTGTTCTGAAAATGCACATCATTTCTTGTTTAACAAGAGCACTCAGAGAGCACATGTACCTCCATCAAGACACAACATTCACTCATGCAAATGGGCCCCTTGTGAAAAATGAGATCCAGAACATAAAACGTGTCCTATGATCCAGATTGGATCTGGGTCATCTTTCAGGCTATGATAGGCAGTTATAGTGGACATCGTAAATGAACATTTCAGGGACTTTCATTATAAGTAAGTTATGGTAGAAAATATGAATTAAATAGGGTTTTCAATATTAAGTTACATGGCTGTCAGATCCAGACACTGCATACATATGTGCATTAAATTTCAGACAAAAAAATGATCTGGATAACTTCTGATGGAGATATGATTTTTTTTATTTAGCCTCAACTCTTTTTCTTCTTTTAGGCAGGAAGACCTACATTTTTGGTTTAGATGCTCGTTGGAGTAGTCTTGACTAACATTACTGCACAACTACTCAAGCTCCCAAAGTGTCACCAGCTTTTTGCACACTTTAGACTGACAAATCATACCAGTGTGTTCTAATATCAGAATGCATACCAGTTGTTAGTTCTCTGGAGCTCACACTAACAAAGATTTTATGAGAAGATAAAAAAATGTACATTATTTCATTAGCACAGTTACAGGCTTACCTGCATAAATGGTTCTCACAAACACGTCTGGAGACTTGATCTCAATAATATCCGAAACTGGGGCAACATCCAACTTGGCAGCCACTCTGGGAAGCAGGTTCTGCAAACATTACGGTGAATTCGCTGAGAAATATGCAACAATCACGCTTGTGCATTTAAGGAATCAATCAGATGACAGAGTTGATGAGTACAAAGATAGTTTTGATATGTTTTGTGAATTGTTAAATATTTTGTGAAAATTAAGTCTAATTTGGCACTTCAGAACAAGGGTAAGCATAAGGCCTAAAAGAAACCAATGAGGACATTACATGCATTTCAAAACATTCAAATGAAAATTATACATGCATTACTCTCGTCTGTGCCTTACCTTTCCAAATGCAGACGCACCAGCACAGATGTGGGTGAAGTTGAATTGCTTTTGTGTTGCCAAGATAAGTGGAGTCAACTCCTCTGATGAAAACAAATAAAATGACATCAAGAGGTGCCAGTTCTAGTCACAATAAACATGTAAAGAGAGAAATCAAATAAAAAAACATTCTCCCCTTCCACAGGTACTATTGCCAAGCAGCCTTTGAGCCAATCAAGCACAAAATCGATACATAAACATGTGGGACTGTGTAAATATGAATCAGATTACTACTAAAACAGCAGACATTTTCAGTATTTCTTTGCTCTGTGAGTGAAGGCTGAATTAAACGACAGGCATTAAGTATCTTTGGTGTTACTGTACATACCAGGCAGGGCACCTTTGTAACAATCATGTTGGGCCACTAAAACTTTCTTCACACCCTGTACTTTACTGATTTGTTCCACAACCTGGAAAGACAAAAACCATGTTATAGATCTAGGTTGTCTGACCTTCTTTTGTCTTATTATCATGTACATGTTAAAAACACATTTATCCTTCTTGGCTCTTCTGCATTTTTTCCTTATCTCCATAAGCTAAAAGCACAACTAAAATAACATCTTAATAATACCACACATACAATGTGTTTAAGAAATCCTTATCTACCTTTGAACAGTTTACTCCGGCAACCAGACAAGACACCTCACCACCCAGCTTACTAGCAGCAGTGATTGCATTGAGTGTAATAGGGGTCAGCTTTTCATTGTTGTGCTCTGCAACCACCAAGGTGCTTTGAAACCTTTTGAGGAGACCACTCTGTGGGAGAAACAGTCGACATTTCAGTATACAACACACAAAGATGTGGTAGTGCTGCGTTTTAAACAGCCTGTCACATTTGGGATCATTTACAGATAATATATAGAAAATATTGAGTTACTCTTTTGGCATCCATGAACAAGTTCACATGTAATCAATGAACTATGGGATATTCATAGTTTGTAATGAAATATTACTCAGTTCTAGGAATTAAAACCTAGACAAACAGTGTTTATCTAGGTTTTAGGACTAGTAACGTTACACATCGATTCAAAAGTATTATTTACATAACACCTAGAATAATCGGTGCAATGTGAATACAATTACTAACGCTATTGGGAACATAACGACATACAAGCATTAACTTAGTTCAGTTACTGTAACCTCTGAAACAGCTGCAGCAGACTCAGCCAAGATAAAACAGACTAATACCAGCAACACCTGGACACGACTGGACAATATTAGTTGTTAAAGGTCATTCTACTGAACAGAGAAAACACTAAATACCACATGCTACCTTTAAGCTTATTGCTTATAGCTACACGTCTCACATGAAATCAAATGATTCTTTTAACACGATGACAACTTTACAGTTTTACAAGTGTTACGAGCTTTCATAACCACTAGCATAACCATGCTAACACCGACTACATCTGAATTAGCTAGCCAGCGAGCCGGCTAGCAACCCTTGCAAAAATAACAAGGTAGATAACTGATGTTTTTCAGCGTTTTAAGTCTGTTATAAAAAAAACAATATAATGTCTGCGCATGATGTAAACCTATAAACATCATACTCTCACCAAATGTCTCACAGTTGTTTTGTTAAACGCTCTGTTCATCTTGGACCCTTGTAGCTGCTGTCTATTCAGTGCTACAAAGAACCGTGCCAAAGGTCATCTGACGTTTACAATGACTTCTCGCGAGATATGCCCAATTAAGAAGGTAACTTCCGGTCATCGGCGGAAAGCATGAAATCTCTCCTCCCTCCTCGCTCTCTCTCTCTCTCTCTCTCTCTCTCTCTCTCTTTACCTCCCTCCCTCCCTCCCTCCTTCCCCTCCTCTCTGAATCCGACAATCGTAGTCAAAAAAAGAAAAGAAAAGGAAATGAAATAGCCCGTGGATATATTTACGATCCACTGATTCATTACAGCTAAGAAGTTCTTTTAATTGTGTTCACTTTATCCATCAGACACTAAATAAATTAGTAAGGAACTTTGAGTTATGTAAGACCAACATTTGTGGTTCTTACTGCTCTTCCGCCTGTTTTGTTATTTAGACTTTCATTTAGGATTGTGTAGCCTAAAGGCATAGGCTATCAACGCTATTAAATGTTACAGGTTTGATTTCAAATATGACACGTACAATATATTATCCTCAAATTTTTTTTCTGAATGAACAAAAATAGGCCACTCTTGTCGAATTTATCATTCTTATATTGTTTTAACAGCAGGGTTAAGGCACTTCAGTCTAGTCTTCAGTCTTCAGGCTACGTGTTTCTACTCATGAGAAAGATGAAGGAAAAATACAAGAAAAGATAAAACGAATGAATTTTTTAAAATGTGGTCCATAATTTGCTTTGCTTTAATAACATGCATGAGAGCGCTGTATGATCTGATGGATTCGGAAATAAACAACAATAAAGGTTGCAGACAGTAGACCTGCTTTGATTGCGGTGTGTGACTCCCTCTCTCTATCTCTCAAATTTTAACTATTACTAGGCTAAGTCATCTATCATCCTTCATCAGCCTATATCATTTTCTTAAATCTTCAAAATTGACTGTCACCAAATGGGCTATAAGCTTTAGCTCAGTAAGTTCAAATAATTTATGGCTAATCCATACAAAAGAAAAGGTTTCTTTCTTTTGTTTTGTTTTACACTGAATAAACAAAAAGACAAGAGACCCCCCCCCACCACCTTCCAAAAAAGCAAATTTTTTCTGACATGAGTTATAACTGATCATTAATCTGCTGATCATTTTATGTGGTAATGCATAAAAATGGGTCTTCCTGGCCCATTTTAATAAGATACATTTTCTTGCTAAAAGCTTTTGAAATGCCAGAGATAGACGTGGCACATCTAAAAACCACAAAAAATATTTTTATCTTGAAAATAGGCTATAAGCTCCTTGACAATGCAATTCAAAAAAACGTGATTTTTACATTGCAAAAAAGTATGAATATAATATTCTCTATTGCATTATAAGCATGTTACATGTTGTGTTATGCTGCTATGTGTAGGCTCTACTCTATGAAAAGTTTGCATTGTGTTTCCCTGAACCTCCTACACGTAAACTGTATTGATACAGCTAATAACTTCTTGCAAGTCATAACTATACCGTTCCCTTTCGTTTTATGTTGTGCAGACTAGTGAACAAACGGAGTGAACGCAGTAAATGAAATGGGAAGAGCTCCTCCAATCCAAGAACAAATTGTATACTAGGACAATGAATTTGGGAATATTAGGTAAAGAAAGCATATGTAAAATAATAAAGTGACGGATTTAAGGGCTTCTTAGGTAAACCAAACTTTTGATTAAGTTGTCAAAATGACATCAGGCTATCTTCCTGAAAAAAAAGTATTTCTAAAATTTGCTGCTTCTTGATCCGAGATCTCACCCTATATAGATTTCATCCAGTAGAGGGCGCACTACTGCAATAGTACTGGTCACTGTTCGTCACAAAAGAAAAGTTTATATATATATATACCCCTTTATAATTCGTGAAAGTAATGAAATGATAACTACCATAATATAAAATGTATTTATTTTTCAGCATTGTAGGCCCGTGTTTTTTTACAAGAGATTCAAGTTGGACTTGTTAGTGAACAAACCTCACAGCAACACTATAAAACACATCACAGTATAATTTCATAGCAAAATATTAACAAAGATGAGCTTACCATAAACAATAGGCCTATATGAACCCTTAGCCTCAGTATTTCCCAATTAATCTCAATAAGTTAACAGGAAAACGCTTAAGAAATAGAGATGGACAAGCAGCATTGTGGGGGATAAAAGAGGTAAAGAAACACAGCTGCTCTCACGACCAGTCCGAGAAGACAAGAAGAAAAAAAAAACGAGGAGAGGTCCAGGAGGAGATTTGCATGGCACCTTCTCCTTAGACCCACAGAGGTCCTGGTTTGCAGACGTCACTGGTCGAGGATCTTTGTTTTCTCTCCTCCTCTCTGTGGAGGAATACAAGTTTATCATCCAGCCAGGGACGGGACGGTCTCCTCTGCCACTCCTCTCCTCCATCTGTCGACTTGCACCGGGCTGTTTCTCCTGTATGGTGGATATCCTGCTCAATGCTTCTTTCTTGGATGATATGGGGGATCATTCAAAAAGTAAGATACTCCCATCTTTATTATTGACATTGTGGGGTTTTATTGCGGGTTTTAAAATTCCAGCTCGTGTGCAGCCTCTTGAATTTGATGATTAATCGTTCGATTCATTTCCAAGTTTACAGAATCATTTCAAAACGTGCAACTAGGGAATAATCAATAGAGTCGTGCTAACGAAAAACCACCATATTAGTCTATTGCCTAGATTATAATGTAGCCTATCTGTGGTGCTCGTGTGTTTAAGGTGACCCGTGCCGTGATATTTTTAGCTCCCGTGGACAATTCAGTAATAGTCTTGGAAGGACTTACATGTTTGTTGTGATACGTGCACAGCAGTATCTCTCCATAAAGTGACGGGGGCTTTATCATGGATGTCATGGGGATTACAGGAGCGCAGACAGTGTTGCATTAATGCATTTCCCCCTCACACAGAGAAGTCAGGAATCGCAATGTGTGTGGGCTGTGGAAGTCAGATACACGACCAGTACATCCTGAGAGTCTCCCCGGACCTGGAGTGGCATGCAGCCTGCCTCAAGTGTGCAGAGTGCAGCCAGTACCTAGACGAGACCTGCACTTGCTTCGTCCGAGACGGAAAGACTTATTGTAAAAGAGATTATGCAAGGTGGGAGTTCAGCAGTTTTCTGGGTTTGCTTTACTTTCCTAGCTTTTAGAGGCCATGTGTCAGGCTGTTGAAAACAAAGTGGTGGATACAAGGGGCTACAAGATAAGAAAAAATATATATTCCCAGCTGCGGATTTCAGTGGCAAATGTGCAAATAATAGTGCGCAAAATGTGCATCATGAACTGCACAACCCAAGTAAGAGGCATTCCGTTTTTATTCATTTCATGTGATTAGGCCTGTGATGTCAGCTCACAGCTTTTTGAGCGTCTCTGATTCATGAAAGATCAGCCTCAGATTCGTTGGCCTAGGGATGTTGTATGAGACCAATATATCTTCGCTCTCCTTTGCAGGTTATTTGGCGTCAAATGTGCAAAGTGTAACATGGGCTTCTACAGCAGCGACCTGGTGATGAGAGCCCGGGACAATGTTTATCATATGGAGTGTTTTCGGTGCTCGGTGTGCAGTCGACACCTCCTGCCGGGAGACGAGTTCTCCCTGAGGGACGAGGAGCTGCTGTGTCGAGCGGATCACGGTTTGCTGGTGGAGCGGGCCTTTGCAGGAAGCCCGCTCAGCCCGGGGAACGTTCACAGCAGACCGCTGCACATCTCAGGTACAAGCTGGGTTGTTATTCCTCCCATGTCCTTCCAGAAGAACATAGGCCTTAATGGTGCATGCGGCTATTATCATTATTAACAGATTAAATGTAGTCAATTTTGAACGAAGTCGGCTCAGTAATAATCATATTTTGTGTGCATATATAGGCCTAATTACTTTGAAGCAGTAGACGTGTCAATATGTCCGTATAAGCATACAATAAGTAACTGCAGCAGTGTATTTCAAAAGCCTAATTCTTTTATAAATTCCAGATGGTGATCACTTTAAATCCATTTTTTTTAATGTGGTTTAGTGTAGAATCCTTTATAGATGATTTTGTATTTGGCCTATACATTTATTTATAATTAACAGCAAAAAGATGAATCGCTTTTAGGATGTAACTTGATTTTGCTTTCTGCAGAGCCGGTTTCTGTCCGGCATCCTCCCCATCACCGGAACCACGTCCACAAGCAGTCCGAGAAGACCACCCGGGTCCGGACGGTGCTGAACGAAAAGCAGCTCCACACACTGCGAACCTGCTACAACGCCAACCCGAGACCAGACGCCCTGATGAAGGAGCAGCTGGTGGAGATGACCGGCCTGAGCCCCAGGGTCATCCGCGTGTGGTTTCAGAACAAGCGCTGCAAAGACAAGAAGAAGTCCATCCTGATGAAGCAGCTTCAGCAGCAGCAGCACAGCGACAAGACCGTGAGTTTCCTGTTTTTATAGCTTCATGAAATAACTGAAAGAAGCGTCATTATGTTTTAGTTTGCTCGTTCCCAAAGCATTTTGTGCAACACTCGTGTTCAGTAGCTTTCCAACCTTCACCCTCCACACTTGTGTTTAATTCCTCCTATAAATATATAGCCTATAGAAAATTGCGTTTTTGTGAGTGAACAGGGAACCAGATCATATTCATGTTATTGTCACACCTTTGCTCGATGTAAAGAAAGAAAAAAAATTAAATAGCAATAGTCTACTGCCATGGCAAAATGAAATCAAATCAGATTTAGTCTTATATTTAAGAAGCCTCGCAGCATAAACATCTCTTAGACTGAATTTAAATTAAAAACGAAATAGTTTGTTGCACGAATTGCACAAAAAAACTAAAATCGAACAAACAACTGCTTTTTATTTTCAGTTTCCTTCCAGTTTAATTATAGGTTGTAGCTTCATACATCAGATAATAATTGTAAATGTAGGCTCAGTTACTGAATGGAATTGAAATTGTATTTTGGACATATGGGTTCGGCAGAGCGAATGAATTGGGTCATTTTGCAAACTTAAATTTATTACAATTTTTACTAACTAGCTACAATCATAACGTTTAGTATTACTCTGCAATGCTTTGTTTGTTGATGCATGGATTTAAAAAAATCTGTTCTTATTCATCCCTGCATTACGCATTCATATGACTTTGTCCATATATTTGTGCACACTGAGCGTTTTTCATTGCTCCTGCAGAATCTGCAGGGCCTGACAGGCACACCTCTGGTGGCAGGCAGTCCGATCCGGCACGACAACACCGTGCAGGGGAATCCTGTGGAGGTGCAAACTTACCAACCACCGTGGAAAACCCTCAGCGACTTCGCCCTGCAGAGCGACCTAGACCAACCCGCCTACCAGCAACTGGTATGGTTAAAATAGAAATAAAAGATTGTTTAAAAAGAATACAAAGAGAGCACTAATGCTCACGGAAAGAGAGGAATGTGTTCAGATGCATTTATCATTCAGAAAAGTTCAGATACAGAGATTATTAAGGTGATGGTTTAATTAGGGAGTTTAGTAACGGCACCCAACAACTCCGTCCACCCAGTCATCTCAAAGTCATAGATTAAAATCTGGCTGAAACATATCGACGCCTTTTATTTTCAAAAGACTCAGAAGTAATTGCTTCTTGTACCAAACTCCTTCTCAGCCTTGTGATGGCCTCTGTGTGGAGTCACTTGAGCTGCCGAGCACAGGCCACGGGTGATTTACTGAATGATAAAGTGACGTATATTCATGTTTTAACGGCTTGAAAAAATTAAATATAGATATATATATATTCATTTATTCATTTTGAAGTCCCACACTCCAGGCCCTCACATGTTGACATCTCTTTATATGGGTTTCATGAGAAGTTTGGCACCAACGCAGATACTAAATGATGAAGAATGCTGACAAACATGAATGACCTGGGGTAAATGATGTTCGTTTGATTTGCCACCCCGTCTCCTCCGGCAGGTGTCTTTCTCTGAGTCGGGCTCCCTGGGAAACTCCTCTGGCAGTGATGTGACTTCTCTGTCATCGCAATTACCGGACACACCGAACAGTATGGTTCCGAGTCCCGTGGACACGTGAGGAGGCCCCCGGGGCCACCTGCAGCCCCCCCTGCAGCGCACCGCATCTTCTGCAGGGACGCACATAGACCTCAGTGAAATGAATAAAAGGACCAGGGCGGATTATGTTCGAGGATACACTCAGGATTGTGTGACTGTTCCCTTTGCATCTACTCACCGTCTCGCTCAAGGACACTTCGGCAGGACACACAGCTGTTGATGGACATTATGCTGCCAGGGCTTCAATGGGACACGTTGACTTCTATCATGATGCCAGTGCCCAAACTGGACATGACGCGGGCACTATGTTGTGGGAGTCAAACACGCGATCATGTTGGACCTCTGAACTTTAATGCTTATAGTATGTTTATGCAAATGCAAACAGCCTAGATGTGCATGATTTGTAAGTTTCACTGTCGACTCTTGAAATGCGCACTGTTCGCATTGTCTCCAGAAAATAAGTTATTATTATTTATTATGAGGACAGACATAGCCGATCTTATCAATAAAACCATAGGCCTAACTGATTATTTGCGTAGAAAGTCCATTTGTTCCGCAAACTTTCAGAAGAATTTTAACATCCGTTTTAAGGAAAATCCATCTGCTACTTATAAGGCTTGACACAGTTTCAAGAGGTCAGGCCTGCAGGAACGGCCCTGTTTAGACCACAATTCAAACGTTTATTAAGGATAATTAACCCAAATAAATACAGAGCTAAATATTTCAATATTTCTCGGTTTGCACAGACCTTTGCGTCTTTCTCTGTCAATAAGCTGCAAGCTTCAGTTCACAAACCCCTCAGGTAGTGGCCCAACCCTGCTCAGTTTCTGAGCCAAGTGGATCAGTGACTGATGGCTGACAAGGTATTATTAAACGTGGCCAATACTTCAGAGGTCACTGAATCAGACACAGCAGGTTGCCTTCCATGTTTAATCCGCCTCCTCATGTTAATCATATTAATATTACGGCCTCCAAAGTAGCCTGGGATTATATTTAGACTATAACAAATTGTTTTGCTCCAGCTATAGTGATACAACCATAAATCTCAAATAAATAGATGTCTAGGTGCTTTACCAAGCTGAGGCCCATGGTTACAAGTCTAGACAGAGGACAGGCAGCGGCGGCCCCTTATCTGCATCTGGCATCACCTGCAAAGGATACACCGACGGGACCCACAACAAAACGTGCAGCCGCACAGCGCAGAGGGAACTCCCAGCCCGCGGACGCATCCTGGCGTGTCTTGGGTTTATTTTCATTCCAGTAGAAATCCTGACCGGCAAATAGCCGCTGGACAGGAGAGCACACAGGTCAAGCCGGGACTGACACACTACACCTCAACAATTTGTTGGAGAGGATCGGCTTTTATCAGCGAAGGAGATCGAATCGGATTGAAATTCGAACTCCTGTTAAGCTTTAAACTGTGTGCAAGAGATACAACAGAACTATACATTTAAAAAGAAAATGTTCATTAGAAACATACTAGATAATTAATGTCATTGTCATTAGCAGTAACACAAATAAAAGGAGTGATTTAGTGGCTTTTCCTCCAACCTAAATGCTGCCTACAGGCAGGTTGGTTGTGCTGAACCACAGGTGACACTGATGCTGCAGTGATGGACCGATTTAAAGAACAAACTGTATCAGCATTGTTTGAATACAGATGACAAACCATATTAAAACGAGCATTAATGAACACTGAGCAAATACAAAGCCAGCAGTCTGAAGTCAGACTCAAATCAACTTACATTTGTTCATTTTATAGAGTATAAAACTGAAGAGACATAATGCATAACCAAAAGCATTTTATTTTATGTTAGAGGTAAATAGCTCAATAAATTATATTAATCTGTAAACAGAGAGAGATGGAGAAAAAATGGAAAAAAATATAAATTTGAAAAGAATTTACAATGAAGGCAGGTCATGTAAGTTGTAACTGGCAAAATGTAGACAGGAGATAACAGTGTTACCACAAATTCAATCAATTAACAGCACTAATGAAAACAATTGGCAAATAATTACAGTATAAATACATGTTTCAGATTAAAGCCTTCACTGCTTTTGAAACAGATTCATTTCTATCTGTAATAGAAAAGAAAACTAACCAATGACTTGTTCAGACACTAAACTGAGTCCATGTGAATGTTTTGAATGTACAAATAAGAAATATTGTGCAAATTCCTCATTAACATCAGTCTGACTTCCAAAAAAAAAAAAAAAAAAAAAAAAATCTACACTGATGAACCAGCACAGGACAAGGTTTCACAGTCTTTACATTTGACAAAATCTCAAAAACACATAATTTACTCATGGGCAGACTTTAAGTCAGGGAAAAGAACACAAGGCTCAAGAGACATCGCTACATCTCACGCTCTTTTGTAGTGTTTATTCTGTGCTTATCCGTAGTGAGGACAGTGTGCGGCTCCATCACTCCTCCTGCTTCTTGAGAAAGAACTGCAGTGCTGAGTCCCACTGATCTCGTGGAAAGCGGTTGGCCAGCTCACAGTAATCCAGCAGCTGGAATACTTTGCACAGACAGAGAAGACTGACTACATTATGCTGGGTGTTCGACCGAATTTCACCAACGTGTTAAGAGAAATTCTTCACGTCTCAACAGTCAAATAGATTTAAAAAAATAATGTAAGAGAGCCATGTTTACATGACGCAACACCTTTTTTAATCATTAAAATCTCCTTATAAAATAAAAAAAAAAATGATATCAACATAAATTCACTCGAATAACTTACTTGCTTGCTTAGTTTTGTTGTCCGACTCCTTCTCATTTGCAGCACAGTCCTAGAGGAATTATAATAAGGGGCATTAAGAGCGTACTATGACATTATACTGCAGGTATTAATAGTGTTGTGTGAGCACAATTTATTTTCTTTTGCTCTAAGATTAATTAAAACTCCCAGCAGGAAAGAAAAAGCCACATTTAAATCTGTTCTCACAGTTTCACTTAATTACAATTTGCAAATCAAACAAAATGATGTCAGTATAAGAAGTGATAGAGAGCCACCTTGGATCAAGCTTTTACACATTCCCTGGAATGCTCTCGGGGTTAACTCAACAGTGAGGGCACCGGGGCAAGTCGTCATGCATTACTGCTTTGTTTGAAAGAAATGACAATAGCTTGTCTCCATTTGAATGGAAGTTAATCAGTGTCCAAACAGTGGTGGTTGCAGAGTGGTGAAGGGTATGTTGTCAGAGGGAGATGAAGGAGACAAGCTGTGTACTGGGAGTTGAACCAGTGGCAGTTAAATCCGCTGTGAGGGGAAGCCATTCATCTTTGTAAAAACCTGCCTGTTACAGATGATGAGCAAGGCTTTATCAGCTGTTGCTGAGATGATTCCTTCTGATGTGAAACAAATCTACCGGGTTTGGCGTAAAAGTCGCAAGGTCACAAAAATAATTTGGTCATTAATCGTTTTAAAATAATGTTCAAATACATTTTCAACATTGGCCTTGAAAGATCAGTTTTTTGGTCTTGAATTAATTTTAATTAATGAAGTGTGTTAGAATGCATACACAGGATGGCCCCATATTCACCTGAATGAATGTAGCCAGCAGCACACAGCTCATCTCCTGCTGCAGGATGACCTTGTTCTGAGGGTTGTTGTAGCAGGCCGAGATGAGGGAGGGGAAGAGCACTCTAATGAGGCGGGGGTGGCTGAAGTACTGGAAAGGCAGCTGACAGAGTTTCTGCAGCACGCTGGGCTGGCGACCAGACTGCACTATCACCTGAAACACACAAAGAGCAGGGGCAGTCAGTCACCAGTCAGTGGCACTGCCGATTGTAAATCACCGCCATGCGCCCCTCCCACGTGTGGATCTGCCACTAAAACAACACACAAACAGCCATTAGGAAGAGACCTGGGGGCACAGCCTCCCACCGCACAGTTACAAGCTACAAAACACAATAACTGGATGTTTTATTCCTCCTTCATAGCAAAGGCAATGACATCAAGAGTGAAATGTAAACTGACGTCATTATCAGCAGCTAGAACGTCACTTGCAGTTTTTTTTTTTGGTTAAGTTTTTTAATCAACAGTGAAGCACAAAATCTGAGCAGAACTGCAGCTAAGGTTGGGAGGGCATTCAAAGTGCAGTTGGGAGGAAGAAAGGGTGGGGTGGTGGGTGACAGGTGGGGTGAGCAAACATCCACCAACAGTGTGGCCACCCCAGTTTAAGAAACGAGCTATACCATTAATGGTATTTTCACCCTGCTGACATCCTCCTCTCCATCACAACCTGTCAAACCACACGCCATCACATCCGGGACACCTTGATTAAAACCAACTCACTCCCAGCCTCATTTGAACCTAATGCTCTGGTCAGCCAGGGAGTCAACATGCTAAATCCTGGTAAAAAAATTTTTTAAAAATTAAAAAAATAAATCCCACATCCCTTTACAGGTACAGACTGGGGGTTCAACATCAATGGAAACCAGAAGGGCAAGGTGAGGTCCCAAGGTCATGGTTCGGCATAAATTCACAAGGCTTACAAGATTTTAAAAATAAACTCTCTGATACTCTTCCATTGGCTTTTCCTTTCATAGTGCACTCCAAATTTTACCAGCAGGATAAACAAAGTGGTAATTCATGGCTTTTATCAGTTCAAGGTGAAGCTTCTCAGAGCTGCCCTCTACATCGGCGTTCAAAGGGACACACAACAGCACTGCTTCCTGTGATCATTTGTCTAAAGGATCCAAACGGACACGTTAAACAATCTGAACTGTAATGTATTACAAATGCTTAAAAACGTGAAGAGCACTGCATTTGTCAACCTAAAATGTTAGTGTTGATTTTTGAAGCTAAGAGACTGTGTGAAAAAGGTCTGCTGTGGTGTGTCCCACTAAGTGCAGTACTGAATTAAAGAATAGTGCTGAATACATTACAAAGATGAAGACCGTGCTGCGAATATGTGTGTGCAACAGTGGAAGAACAAAATCCCCACAGTTCCACTGACTCAATAAGTGTTTTTGCCAAAGGAATGCAGGACTCGCTGGACAAATTCACCCACTGATGGAAGGAGGGGAAAAGAGGCAAGCTCTGGTTGTTTTCAAAAGCAGAGCTGCTTATTTTCTTTGCATATAGCTTTAAAAATGTTCACGCTACTTTCCACTAAATCCTACAGCATCATATTCATCTTGTCTGTTGCAACATTGCGAGCAAAAATGAGGATCATACATTTTATGCGGCTGAATTCACCGGGGAGTCAAAACTGTGATTCTGCCAGAGCTAAAGGATCTCTTTATTCGTGTGTTTTAATCTAGGACATTTATGGTTTAGGTATCATAATTTAAGCATTGGATGTTTGAGCTGAGGCTCTGAGGAGATCCAACCCACAAATCACTCAGCGATCTTATAATCCTCCTCTTTGCACAGTTCTATCTTCAGCTGCCTAAATAAATCGTCCTCCCTCAAAAGCCTGACACAGAAAGGCATAAAACAAAGGCTGGTAGCAGCGAGAGTCTGGCAGTAACAAAGAAATCGAGTCCCCTGCCAACTTACCACGCCTCTATCAGGTAAAGAGCAACACTGGAGCCCAAAATGGTTCCCAATTAGATTATGCTGCAGCGTTGCTTCTCTCAGCTCAGCAGAAGTATCTGCGACTCAAAGCCTGACATCATAAAACTATCAATGAGCCTCTGAACTCATGCATCTGGGCCGCAAGCAACGCAGACCCTGTAAAAACTCAAGCATCTTGGTTGCTCTGTTCGTCTTTAAGTTCAGAGAGCTGGCGGCTTCAAACAGTGACAAGTTTTATGACACTTCCATTACATAACTTCCACAGTGTCCACAATGGCAACAAAGGCTGTGTAAAGTTAATGTTCTGAAACGCAAACAAATTCCTGTGAAAACCCAGTGTAAAATAAAGTTAAAGCTAATTTAAGACCAGAGAGAGAAAAAAAAAGTTATCAGCCAACCACATATTAACACATACACTACATCTCAAATAGCAGTTTGCCTGTACGCATGAGGCTGCAGCGTTGCTACATGAGGACAAGAAATGGTATGAATGTCTTACTGTACAAATTTAATGAAAGATTTTTTTAATACCACACAGAATGAAAGTGACAATCTTGAATGTGTAGAGGAATCTCCGTTTCTTATGGCGTCTAGACAACCCAAACACCTCAGGAGGAACCAGTGTCAGCACAAGGCCGTATATCTGACACTCGGATCCTCAATGTAAACCAGATCCATCTGTCTCACTGATAAGACAAGCAGAGCAGCAGACACCACAAAGCAAAGTCAAATAACTATTTAGTGCAGTGCTTTTTTTTTCTTTTTACAACGGCTTCTTGAGATGTGCACAGGATGTTGCGTAAACTGCCTTCAGACAACTGGATTCCAGCGACGCAGGCAATGACATAGACACTCCAACTTGACTTTTGAGGCAACGGTCAGTTGTTTAAAACCCCATAAAAACCTGCTGTTTACACAATAAAGCTTAATAACTCTTAATTTATCTCTATGAGCTGACGCTGTCATTCCCTCCCAGATCCTCTTGATGATAACTCTGCTCTGAAACTAACCTGGTGACAGTGTTACAGACAAATGGAAACTGCTCACTGAAAGGTTTGCAGGGATAAAATGTCCGCAAGCTTCACTTAAAGTCAGTTGGACCTGCGTTCACCCTTGAAGCAGAGTGTAAATCATCCAGTGAGCTAACAATCAGGCCCTCTCCTGCCAGTCAGTGGAGAGAGCGTCTGTCTGTGTTTCTCTGCCTCTGTTTACTCTGCTGGGTGATACAAAGTGTGCATTCCCCAGTGCTGGCTCCCTATGGTCTGCACGCACTGCACTAACCCTGCAGGCAGTGATGGCTTGGTTGTCTTGGCAGTAATGGACTGCTGAAGGGAGCGTTTCACCATCAGGTTAACAGGACTTACAGGCCTAAAGCTTAAAGCTTGTCCTCGGCCTGTGGGGCAGAGGAAACGCCTTTGTAGAGAATGGGATGAAGAAGAAGAAATGACCCAGATAAGGCTGAGCTCTGGAGATGTGTGTGTGTGTGTGTGTGTGTGTGCCATGTTCAGTCTAAAGACGATCCATAGCTCATGTAATGCTCACTGTTATAAAGAAAACAATTTAGAAAACACAAACACAGAGGACTCAGGTAATCTCAGGAGCCAGTGTGTGGAAAAGTATCCCATTACATTTATCAAAAGGCCTATACGCTACCTGAAATTAGATCTGCTTCTGTGTGTATGTTATAGGAGCAAGAGCATATGTATAGCTCACACTGCTTGTGTACGTGGCAGTTTTCCACACGGGGGGGAAAAAAGGAAAGTTTTCTTAAGATTTCTACACTCTCAAATCACTTGTGTCTTTCTAAAAAGCAAACAGGAATTGGGTGGGTTAACATGTCAACAGGTTCCAATTACAGTCCCGTCAACTCGAAGATTCAACAGATCATCACTGTGGATGAATCACAAATGAATCACTGTATTTAAAGACAAGGAGATTACCGGTACACATTTCTTCAGGAAAAAGGGAAGCAGAGTTACAAAATAGGTTTCATTTGTTGTTCTTTTTCTGTGTAAAGGTCTCTATGGACACACCCAACAGACAATGAAACATATGGCTAGATGGCTCAGTGGGTCCCCATGAACAGAGACACACTTGAAAAACACACAAGCCTACATATGTTACTCTCCCAATGGCTTTTTGTGTGACAAGGTGAATTATTCATGCACATGGAGCAGAGGGAATTCATCACAATGTATAGTGCTACTTCAAAGTTCTTGCTTTTTATGAGAAGCCTTATTTCTGGTGCATATACATATATATAAGCCGACAGTGACTCAGCAGTCTCTGCGACCGCAGAGTCCTCAGGTCGGACTGCTTTTGTGTTCTGCCAGTGCTTACATTAGCTTGCGAAAAGCTCAAGCTGCTCTAAATATTCTCCTTAACGCCATCCATCTCAGTACGGAACTGACTGGACACATTCCAGGAACCGGACCACTGGCAAAGACAAACTCTGTGTCGAGGCTGTGTGGGATCTTGTTTCCCAACAAACTCTACTTGAGTATGATTTTTTTTTATATATATATATATACAAATTTCTTAAATCCAAAAGAAAGGTAAGAGATTTCATTTGCCTTTTCTCCAAACTTTCTTAGTGGCAGTACCCAGACTGTGGAGGTTGAACAGATTCTGCATCAAATTAGGAACATGCAAATGATTTTTTTTTTTTTGACAAGTAGGGTCAAGCATGGCTGATCTCTTAACATGGGCTGTGGGGGTACCAAGACAAATCATCTGTCACTTGCTTAATTTAATCATCAGTCCTCGTTTAATTATTCAATGTAATATGCAAATTGGATCTACAGTGTCTAACAAATGCTAATTCTATACATCAGAATAATTAAATTCAATAGAAGCAGGGAGGGGAGCTTAAGTGCCATAGACTGGAGAGGAAGGCTTAATTAGAAGCAAAAAGTCTGACAAATTAGAATGACCAATTAGCCTGTAAATTGCTGTGCAGTGGGGGCTGACTGTGAGGACATAAATGATATATCAAAGGTTTGTGACTGAAGCTGTGGCTGCTGCCTGTGTAGGTCAGGCTTAACATAATCAAAGCCCAGCCAACTGTAGCATGGATAATCAGGGGCCCGGTGGACGGGCCATGCATGACAGCCAAATACACAGTAGCCAGGTCTGCTCCATCACATCCTGCTCACTTTCATAGAGCTCCCCAAGTAGTCATAGCAGCGGTGCCAGCACGCTGCCCGGCTTTACCAGGAGGGAACAATGGGTCACTCTGTGGGACAATAGACAACACACAGACCAAAGGCAGGAAGGTGCCAAGGCATGCATCTTTAAACAGGTGCTTTTTCTGACAAATAATACATGAGTAGTACAAACGTAAGATGATATGACCAGGCCTTGTTAACACAGTATTTTGTTTGTTTGTTTTGTTTGTTTTTTTACAACTGAGCATTAAATGCAACATGTCCTGTGAGAATTAAATAGCTAGTGGACTGACAGAAAATGACTCCATCAATTGCTAAAGTGTGTTAAGTAAAGCTTAAATGGGTTGATTACCACCTCTTCTGGCAATTAAGACGGGAAGATGTTACGAAATGATGTTTTACATACTGATGATAAACCTAGAAAAGTTAAAGTAAAGTTACAGCTGTACCTTGAAGAAAAGATGTATCTCAGTATTTATAGTTGTAGGCACTGCAGGTTCAAGCTGGTTTACCTGGTTGTCAGGATGGTTAACGGTGAAGTATCCTACACAGATGATAACTTCGTGCAGCAGCTCTTCAGAGGAGTGCTGGCTGCAGTACCAGAGCAGAGAACTGACAATGTGCCGGAACGCTAGGGACAGGCCCTCAGCTCCTAGAACCGACTGACAGGGCACAGACAAAAAACATATTACTGTGGACCAGAGTACATTAAATTAAATTAACCAAAAACTGCCTATGATTGTGATTACAATGAGCTCAATACAACAGCAATGCAAAGTAATAAAATGTTATATGTTTTGCTGGTGGAAACATGCATGTTGTAAGAGTATAAGCAACTCCACCAGGGTCCCACCATAAAACTCCTCAATCCAGCTCAGAAATGAGATGCTAGGAGCAGCTCACAGACAGTATTTATTAAACATGTCAGTGTGACAGAGCACCATAAGATCATCATAGTTCCATTGGATGTTTGGGTGTGTTAGCATTGTAAAATCCATAAACAAAACACTGTACCTGATATACTAGATACTATTTTAGGGCATCATAATCTGTGCATGCCAACAACATAAATGAAGAGCTGCTAAACTGAACACAAGCAAAATGTTAATTAATAATGAAAAAATGTAGTTTTACATCAGTTTGAGAAATAGGAAAATCTCTACTTGAGGATGGAGAAAGGCTTGATTTTTTTTTCCTTCAAATTTACTTTGTTCAAGGACCACAGATTTGTTGCAGCATATTATGCCAAAAAAATACCACAGAAAAAACAAATTTGTTTTCTGTGTCCTGGATTGAACCCTTTTGTAAATTCATTGTAAATATATGATTGCAAGTTGATGCAGTAGGAGAGCGAGTTAACTCCCTGAATTCTGATAATCCATCCACTGCAATACGTGTTAGCCAGTGCTGTCAGGTAATGTGAAACACAAGGTGATTGCAAATACCCCCCCCCCAAAAAAGAAACATTATTTAAACTGTTCATAAAACTCTGGCAGTGACATGCTTTCATTTCCAGCTGTTTTGAGTTGCCTAGATGTGGCAGGTCAGTAGAAGGAAGCTGCTTCAAAGTAATTACCAGAAGACATTAAGATAATTAACAGCATTCTCTGTTGCTCTTGTGCCTTTCCATCTATAAGGTGACTTTGCACAGCGAAGATATTGCCCTCTCCTTCTCCGGGTGGGTAATGTACAGCCCAGCATACAGTGCTAATCACTGGAGCTCCATACTAATAGACGACCCACCAGGCTTTATTCAATTCCAACAACTGACCTGGGGTCAAAGAGCACCCGTGTTTATGTTCACAGGTCAGCCATGTCCTGAGGAGAGCAACTCCCCTTCTAATGGCTTTTAACAGAGGAACTAGCATTAATCTAATCATGTGTGCAGATTTATTAAATCCAGCAAGGATAATTTAAATATTTGTAGGCACCTTTATGATAGCCTGTCATTTTTGATAATGGACACATCATTTAAATTGCTTAAACTGCATTCTACTGTTTCGTGAAATACCAGTTAATTAATGCCAAGGTACTAGCTATTCCTCATAAAAACTATGAACTCAATCAGAATTTCAGAAAACATGCAAAGATGCAGAAGTGTAAAGAAAAAAAACAAAATGTTTAAACCTTCTGTCTGCTGGAAATGCTTTTTTGTATTTGTGAAAAGTGAAAACAGAATATACTTTGGATTTATTATGAATACCTGGAAGGCAGATAGGTCAAGCAGGGCAAAACTGTTGAGGAAGCGGATGCCTTGCAAAGCCACCTGGATGACCCCGGGGCCGTAGGGTTCCTGACTCTGGGAAGTCGACTCTGGCAAAAAATTGTGTAGCAAGATACAATACAGGGTGTGCACCACTCCCACCAGGTCTGTAGACTGCAATAAGGCCGTCAACCCAGTCGGGTCCTGGCGTTTATTGTCAAATATACTGGGAGCACTGGAGAGAAAGGGAGGGGAAATGTATGGTCAGCAAAACCAAAAACAAATGAGAGAGTTCATTAAATGTACATTTGGGTTTTTATTGTTCCTTTCTGATGATGGTGCCAGGCAAAAAATAAATCAATGAAATAAATAAAATTAAAAAAATCTGACTATTGGACGTAAACAACTTCTACATTTACTCACCAGAAAAAAAGCTACCTCATTAGCACTGCTGTATTACCTTGCTTAACCTACTGTGGTGTGTGGAAAGGTTTAAAATGTAGTGCATGTTGACATGTTGGATCACAGCTGCTCTTAAGTACATCCTCTGCTCTTCATGTGCTTCTCCCTTATTTATGGAATACAAGTATTTTAAACTATGTGCACAAGAAGCTTCAAATATATATATTTTTTCTGACTTAACCAGTGAAAGTCACTGCCTGCCAGTTTGGCTGCATCTAAAGAGACCTTCGAGATTCAAGATCGGCTCTTCCGCTTCCATTACAGTAAACATATTAATGCCATGACGTGAAGGTCATGGAAGTGACTCCAAGCTGGTAGACTGCATTCAGCTGCTTGGCAGTTGATAAGGATATCAAGTCTTCTCCATTGCAATTCAGAAGATTCCAGGTAAAACCCACGACTGGTACATGCAGACAATTTAGGACTACTGCAGTAGCACCAGCTATGATTTGCAGGCATGTAGAATGAAGGGTGTGTTGACCTCTTGATGGAACCTACAATGCGTGCTGATACTTGACGTTAGCCAACAGGCTGTGTGTGAAATATGCTGCTAGGCAAGAACACAGCCTCCTAATGCCATTATAATCCCCTGACACAGCAACTGGCATGGCCAAAGTATTCTACAAGCCTGCTGAGTGTTCTTATATATGACACAGAGAATGTTGGCAGAACAGAGCTTGCTGGCTGCTGTGCTGATCATAACACTTGTCTCATTAAACCTGCAAGCTCTCAGGGTCTGGTTCTCACAGATATATATTGACAAACACAGTCCCCCTGTAACCGTCTTCTAACTCGCTGGCATGTAGAAGCTGGTCATCGTATACTGAATGATACTGAAAATGCAATGACAAGGTTCTGAAGGAGTGTACTGCCGAGAGGTAAGGTTAATATGATTCGATCGCTACACAGATTCAGTATAATGAGTAAAATGCATAAATTTTATTGCATGACATCTAATGATATCTTGGGTATCACGGTCAGCAGCTCTTTTCAGTGGGGAGCTACGATGTTGTTCCTTAGTGTGAGTGCTTGCTTAGCCCCTGTCAGTGGTGCCACTGAACCTCTTTGAGTGGAGGTCACCGTAGTACACGTGGGTGGGCTGCCGACACGCTGTAGGCTAAGGTTTATAGTGAGTAACAGAGCGCAAGGTCAAGAAGATGCCTATCTGTGCAGTAACGGCAGCTTAGCCAGCAAGTTGGCTGGTGGAAACGACCTGCTGGCTGATTGAAGACAAGTCTCAGTCTTTGAGGAACCATGAGATTGTCTTTATGGATCCTTCTGACATTAAAGAAGTGACCATGACCGAGTCTCTGTTATTAGACGCAAAAAGAGAGCTGTGTTTGTTTGTCCGAGGAAGGGCATGAGATTACAGAGATGTTCACAGCAGCTGTGTAGCACAGAAAGAGACATGCTCACCGTCCAGTTACGACAAAACACAGCTTGCACATGCTGTGCAGCAGAGCTGAGGCTTGCTGGAGGAAAGCAGACATCTTAGGGTGCTCGTCTACAGGACCTTGGACCGACAGGAAGCATCCATACAACTTGTTAATCAAACCCATGTTTACTACGTAGCTGCAAAAAACACACAAGAAGAATAAAACACACAATGGTTAATAGTGTTTTTTTTATCACAGGAGACTTAGTTTGTAAAAACCTTATCTCAAACAGGCAAACAAAGGCCTTTACTGTGCGTACTTCCACAGCACTGCCAATGAAAGTGGATACTTTACCTAAGCCCTCCACCCCCCTGCTATTACTGTGATATCTCCAATTTGTCTTTGCCAATGACAGGTCTCATGATCATGTTCCCTCTAGTCGTTCAGCCACAAATCACTGCTTACAGTGTCATTAGAGGGCTGTTGCAGCCCCTGTGCAAGCTCAGTTCTAGGCCCTTGACAGTCTGTTGACCTCAGGCTGGTTTCTCACAGCTCAGATATGCCTGAACCTGCAGGTTCAGCTCATCTTACAAAAATCTATTGAGTGCTACAGCTGTCAATCAAGGTTTTCAAGACACTGATATGGTCCCTGTGAAGCCACTGTTCCTCATCTTATCACCGTCTTGACTCTCCAATTCTTTCTTATACCTTTATTGTTAGAACCGTCACTCATTGAGATCCTCTCAAAACAGGTGATCTGACTTTTTTAAAAGTCCCCTGCAGGTCATCTGACACTTGAACCAAGTCCCATTGTTTTCACTTGATCCTTTTCCACAGCTTAACTTGGGTTAAAAGGATCTTTCCTCAAACTGATTGCTTTGTTCGTTGCTGGCTCTGTGTTTGACAGCCTGCTTGGTGGTCAAACTTGCTGCTTTGCTTCTCATCATATGAGCATAGATTGAAAACATTTATGATAATGACAGAAGACTAAAAGCATTGAAAGCCTAACTGAGAAACTGGAAATGAGAGGAAAGGGAAATGGTGATCTCCTTTCTATATGATGTATAGGTTAACATAATGGGAGAGTGTTGCAAATGCTAAAAATGTTTTGATCCCTTGTCCTTCTTGACTAGCGCATATATTATACAAAGCAGTTGAGGTAAATCTTGTGCTCGTACTTGGGATTACCAGCCTGACGACACCATTTTTCTCAGGCCCTCCCCTGTCTCTGGGGTTACGACTGGGTCAGTGGACAAGAGTGGTGGGCTTGTGCAGCTGCTCTGTCCTGATGAATCATGGCTTGTGGGAGGTATGGTGGAAAGACTGTACTCTTCTACAAGGCTTCATCAGGCTGAGTCTGTCTTTCCTCACAGCCCACATTTCTCCAACACAGCCCCGACTCCTACAGCCCAGACCCACATGGGCAGCTCATACTCCAGATTCAAAGGGACCTTTTAAAGCTTTGGAAGTGCTCTTTGTTTATGCTGCTTTGTGCACCCCTAGTCCCGATTTTACTTGAAATGTGGCACTTAATGTGTGCAGAAAAGTACAAGCCGGACAGATGCCAGAATACATTGTTATTCTCACACTACTCCCATTCGAATAAGACACCGCTTGGACTGTTTCCAGGAGATCTGACATTTTGTCAGCCTATTCTTTATATAGGAAGAAGATGCTTTATTTTATTGCCATTGTAACATTGTGAGACGTAAAATGTAATTTTGCTTGGAGCCGAGGGCCCTGGGCCACTGCATGCATATGTGCCGCCATCACGGGCAACTTGGGGGTTCAGTGTCTTGCCCAAGGACACTTCGACATGTGGACTGCAGGCACCAAGATTTGAACCTTCAACTTTCTGGTTGGTTCACTGACTCTCACCTCAGTGAAAATGAGTGCAGGAGGGATGTAATAAAGGTAATAAAGTTGTGAGATGGGAGAAAAAAAAAGGAGGTGCCATGTAGGAGGTGGAGAAGTATTGTGAGAGCAGTAAACAGCACTGGAAGGAAATACCTGATTAGGTCTTGTGTACGACCGCTGAAAGACTCTATGGTGGAGCTCTTAACCTTGGCATCTGGGGAGGAAATCCACGTGTTTTCTCTTTGTCCAGATTCAGAGATTTGTGGCCACAGAGACCCCAGGATGGCAGCAATGGTCTGCAGCAGACCTGTTGTCAAACCCTCAAAGACCAGTCTGTTTACACTGCGCCCAAAAATGGACTTGTCCTCATCTGGGACATACAGCTGCAAAAATGGAAGAAAACAAATACTTTAAACAAAGTATGCTACTAACCTGTCTACTGAGCAATTAATAAAGCTGGGTTATTAGCATCATTATTAGCATAGGTTGACTGCCTCTCAGAAGATGCAGTCAACCTAAAAGTCTGACAGCTTCCAGATACCATCTACAGTGCACAGAGATGAACAAAACAGAGGTCCATTTACTCCTTTTATCATGCACATTAAAAGCCATTCAAGTAATGTAGAGGCTCGTGTTAAATTCCCTGTTTGTGTTTAGCAAAGGACTTTTCCCATGTAATTGGTATACTGTACCTTTTAGTGAGCTTTAGACCACAAATTAGTAGATTAAACTTCCTGTTATATGCACTGGCTAAAATAACATTAAATAGTAGCAATCTGAGGGATTCCCCTAAGCCACACAAACGGCCAAAAAGCTAGTGTAAACAAGTAAAGATGTTCTGTAAACCAGCTACAACTTAACAAGCTGAAGGATCAAATAAAAATACAGCTGAAAAAAAAGACACTATAGTTAGGCAAACATTTTCCTTATTCACATTTTCAGACAAAATTCATAAAAACACATAAGCACAGGTCCACATTTAAAACGTAGTGCTGCTGTTCAATATACGGAATGTTGCAAAGGGAAAATGTTCTCATTTGGTTTAATGGTTGTGGTGAATGCTGACAGCGTAGGTAAATCCAACAGCATTCTCCACAAATCTAATTAAAAGGGGACATGCTCATATGGCAGCACTGCCCCCACTGCTTTACTTTGTTGTTCACACACACACACACACACACACGCACACACGCACACACGCACGCACATCAATACACAACTATTAAACACAATAACAACTGCAAAGTGTGTGAAAATATTAAAAGATTGTAGACTCAGTTGCAAATTAAATCATAACTCATCAAAGAGGGGTATGCAGGAGCATGTATAATTGTTGAGCCAAGTTCTTAATCTGGATTGAGTACATGGAACACAGTTAAGTTTGTCTCCTGCAGTGCTGTTGGATATGTCAGTCAGCAGAGCAGCTGCTGGGATATGTTTTATATAAACTGAGGCATACAGGCTAACCTCTCCCTGTGTGCCCTAAGGAAATATGACTGCTTTGGATTGGAACTCGGTGCTGGAGAAGGAAGCCCCAGTAGGGTTCATGCATGCACCGCAACCCTGTGCCTTGTCCTGTCTGTGTTGTGAGTGTAGGCGGCCCCAGTGATGTTTGGAGTGGGCTGATGTTTACAGTCCTTCTCACAGAGTGCTGAAGGATATGGGCTGACATGTCGCCGCAATGAAGCCTGCCTGACTGAGCTCTCACATTCCCTCAGTTAGGAGGCATCTGTGGAGAGGTTGGGCAATGGTTTCTTACTTGCTAGCTTGCGTCTCTGACTTTGTCTTTCACTAACACTATGGCAAGAACGCACACTAGCAGAAAACACAGTGCTCTACCTGTGGTCAAAGCAATGTATATCAACAGATAAATGTAAAAAAAAAATAAGGAAAGGTTAATAAAAAGGCTAACTTTACATGTGGCTACTGTATGTTAGATAATACTTTGTTGGTTTGCTCACACCTTAAATACTGTGTATCCAAACATACTCAGTATCTCTCTTATATTTACGGTCATTAAAGCTACAGTATGCAACTAGAGGTAGTGCTAGCACAAAACTCCAAATCAATCCACTCTGCTCCGCCCAGTACTCCCTCTCCCTTCTGCTCTACTACGATCTGCTATGCTCCGCCACGCTCTGCCCAGCTCTTCAGATGTTATGAAATTACAATAAATGAGAATGCAACAAAATTTACTGATCAAGAACAGATAACTGAAAATCTCTGATTGGTTAGAGAGGCCAATCCTACTCAAAAACTTTTAGAAGCTGATATCCCTGCAATGCTGCCAGTGCTGTTCAATGAGTCTGGGTCACAGGAGGCTTTGAAAGCACCTCTCCACATTAAGTCAAGGTTTGAAGCAGATTTCTACAACAAAAATATTTGAAAAAAGTCACATACTGTAACTTTAACCCAAAGTGAAATAGCACTGTTGGCACAAACTCCTTGCAAAAATACTGTATCAGTTATGAACATTTACATTTCTGATGGCAAACTAGGTCCTATTCGTGTGCTGGATTCATAGACTTACAGTTAGTTGATGCAGCAGCAGGTCCATAAGGAGCGCTATCTTGTTGCTAAACAGCACATAGGAGCAGTTGAGGGGGCAGCAGGAACACGCCAGGTAGTAGGTATTTATAGCAGCACATAGAGATCTAACACAGAAAGATGACAAATCATCATTAATCACAAGTTTGGAAAAACAAAACACACAAATACACACTTGCTACTCTCTCCGCAACTTGTTAAAGAAACACTGTGACTGGGATGTAAATGTCTAGGCCTGCACATTGACTAGACTATCCACAGTAATCAGGAAGTCAAACACACTCTTCTCTATTTGTGGTTTCTTAAGGGTACAGTTTGTCTTCACAAGTCAAACGCATATCTCGCTGACAGCCTGAGTGGGGAAGTGGATTTGAGGAATAAACCAATCATATCAGCAACTTATGTGGAGACTCCCCTCATTAGAACAACCTTCAGAGGAGCTGGAAGCAATCGCGGTCCCATCTCAGCTGAGATGGTGCAGCATTTCCGCTGGAGAGATAAAACCACTCCTCTCAGCAGCTACTCACAGCCACCAGGCAGCAGCAAGCAGTGTGCCTCTGTATTATGTCTGCTCTAAAACAAACTCCAGAGAAGATTAATGCTTGAGATAACTGACCAATCATTCTGCTGTGACCGCTACTCCCACTCGCCCCTGTTTCATCAGTTAATATTTTCTGACAACTGTATATTTTAGCCATTGGTGGAATGGCGTGTCCTATCTACTCGCTAGAAGAATGGAATCTGCCTCTCCAGTGCCTAAAGTAAGCTATGTTTATTTCAACCGGTAAACATTTTGATATCCACCAAAAACCTTCACATCTGCTGTGCGTTTTCGGTCAAACCACGCCGGCATAGTAGAGAAAAACAGATTAGACTGAGGCAGACCCAAGTCTGTCAATAACTCTCTCTAGTCTTAACTTTCCATTTGCTAGTGGGCAGATCCGTCATTTAGCCAGATCATTATTGACATTTCAGTGTCAAACATGGACTGTGGTGTTAATGCGAGAAGTGATCAGATAGTGCCCAAATCTGACATCTAATCTTACTTCTGGCCACCTGAAAACAATTTTTTAAAAAAAGACTTAAAATGTGTGTTCTTGCAAATTGTTACAGTACTGTGAGGCAGCTATATTGACAGTAATTCTATTAAAGTATTAAGACAGTGGAAACAGTTATATGCACTGATAGAGCAGCCTGTGTGGAGCAAGAGATCAGGTAACATGAGATCCCAACCAAACTATGCTTTGTGTGCAGCCATGCAGCATCAGGACTCAGATTCTCTTGTGAACATCGGACAAAGATCAGCTTTTATGCAAATACCAAAATGACAACTCAAAAATGTTTCTCAGATACTACTGTACAATTATATGCTTCACACAGCTTATGAAATTTAAACTATCAAACTTTCTCCAAAGGGCAAGAGTTACTTTAGGTGCCTTAAGTCACTTCTGCTGTATTTAAAATGACATTATACTACAGAATAAAGTAGTACATAATAGTAGGAATATCATATGACCCATTGGAAATTAAATGGTGATGCAGGATTAATTTCATTACTGTCAAAGAGCTGTTCCAGAACAGCCAAAGTCATCTTGAAAAGACTTGACAGCTTAAATTTGGTGCACTCTCCTGCCAAATGTTTGTTGTCTGAATTTCAGACAAAAAGAAAAAGGAAGTAGTAGTGTCAGAACAGCTTCAATCCTCCCTGGAATGCAGCCATGAATGTAATGGGATATTTAATCCTTCCTTCAAAAAAAAAAAAAAGAAAGAAAAAAGAAAAGAAGAAGAACTTAAAACTGTGAACTACTCAAAGATTTAGAGGAATTTTATATCAGCAAACTGGAGAGGCAATGCAAAATATCTGACATTGTCTTAATATTCATTCAACCGC